TCTGCTTCGGCGCACCCTCAATTGACTTGAAATTAACGCTTCAATCTGCTAACCTAACCAGACTCCGAAGTGTCGTTGACTTAGGCCTGAGGTATTCTAGTGATCTGACATTCTCTGAGCAAGTGGCATCACAGACTCGAAAGTCAAGGATGCTCTTAGGATGCATACTTCGGAACTTTCATGACACTGAAGCAAAGCTAATTCTGTATAAAACACATGTAAGACCAATACTAGAGTGCTGTCCATAAGTAGCACTCGCACAAGTGACAAGCTAAGGATGGAAAGTATCCAACGGTATTTCACCTCCAAACTACTTGGCTACGATTGTACGAAAGATTACATCTCATGCTGCATGATCCTAAAGCTTGACCCACTTTGGACAAGACGACTTATTATAAACCTAATATTCTTCTTTAAGGTCCTACACAAAATATCATTCTCAGACAGTAAGGACATACAATTCGCACAAGAAGGCTCTTACGATCTGCATGATCAAACTTACACAGTGACAATTCAAGCCTTTAAACCAGCACTCCGTGAAACCGTCTTCACAGTCATGTATTCTAAAATATGCAATAGCCTGCTCCTAGATGTCAGGACTTGCTCTTCAGTTATAAAATTCAAACGCTCTCTGTACAGACTGTTTCACTCTACTGATTATATAAATAAACTATTTATTCTTATAACGAATCAACTATTAGTCTACCACAGTAGCTAAACAACGCGCTTAAATACCTTTACTACTCTAAAAACTTTAAATAAACTAGTAGCATAGATGCATAAAAAGACTTAGTAGAAATAAATACTTGTTCACTAAATTACAATGTACAACGAATATAAACATATAAGTCCCACCCCACATACTTTTTCTCTGCTCTCTGGTACTTTGCTGCTCGCCTCTTCTGTTGTATTTACCTTGTAGTGGAAGTTGCGTTGATCTACATCCAGACTGAAGCTGGGAAACAACTGAAATCACTTACTCAAATATCATCCTTCAAGGTTTGGCTAGTAATGACTCAGCATCCTTGATAAAATCTACTGTCAACATAACAAGACGCTGTACGGCATCTTATACAAGCACTGTCAATGGTCTAAAATGGCTTACATATAGCTTTCTACGTGTTAATCAACTTACTCGTACGGAACAACCATGCAGTGACAAATGGCGGCTTTGGCTGGCGTGGGTGCAGTAAAACAAATCTGCTTGACGATAACCAGTATTAATCTGAATTCAGTAGAATTCACATCTGGTATTACTTTCAATAAAAATGATGTCAAAATCACACCAATAAATCACTCATTTTAAATTAATACCCAATTTGAACATAAAACAAGAACAAGATACGATGCCGCACACAACAAAGTTATATGGAGGAATTGACTTCAAGCTTTATTTTTTCCCAAATATTTGTAATTTATCCAACACATACTTGGGATTTTTTGTTAATGCGAAGACAATATTTCTTTATGTGCTCCATTGAACGACCAGCTATCAGATTGTACTCACTAACTAATGTCAGAGAGGACAGCAACCATGTAATTTCACCATAAATCAAATTCATGTAATGTAAATAATACTTATCCATGCCTGTACAACTGGTGTGTCCTACATAGATAGGAATAAATATATATATATATATCAACACTCCCAGTTAATCCTGCACTGATAATAGTTTATAGCAGATTTCGACTAATTTTCCCTAAGCATACTCCAAGCCAAAGTGGAGGGATGGGGTATTGGGGTCCCCAAATGTAGTGATTCGGTCATTGCCCGAGCTCCGTATCCATGTCATGGTGCTGTGCAGTAACTAGTTGTGCTATACCTCACAGGTGGGGTGATCTGTAGATGCCACCGAGTAAATGTCTGGTGTGACCTATAGCGAGATGACACTATAGAATCTGTGAGTTAAAAAATTGCTTGATGAGTTGTCTCTAGGCAACTAGGCTAGCAGTCAAAACATATAACAATCCGCCTCCCTGTCAGCCCTCTCTCGACTGGACATAGCCATATCACTAATACTGGTTTCATTGTCCGCAATAATAAAAGTTAACCAGGATTTGTAGGGGCTATTATTCTGAGGCGTAGACTTGATTGGAGGTTTCTGAGTTCACCTGTTTTTCCTCTCATCCCTCTTACAATGCTGCACAGGCAACTCACAGGGATTCTTACCACCTCACCGTATTTTGGCGTGGTTGACTGAGTGTGGGTTGTTGGCTGGAGAGTTATTATTCTAACTAGTGGGATAATTTTTTCTCTCACCATTTTAGCTTCCATTTGACTTTTTGAATGAGGATGAAGAATGCGGATATTTGACCATTTACAATGACACATGATCTGCAAACATTATTGGTCCGAAATCTTACAATTCCCTCTTGAATTACGCATTGCATTTCCCCACGACGTAACTTGGATTACAGTTGTGAAATATACCTTCATACCAATAAAAAAGTATTGATTTATAATACTTCATGATTGTATCTTACAACATAACTGATCGTGTCTACAAAAATAGCTTGCATTTCTTGAAAACACCCGTTTATAAGAATATATAAACTGTCATTATTATAAGTCCACATTGAGTACAATTCACTTGTGATGTTACGATGAAAATGCTGACAAAAGTATACAAGTGTATCACTTATTTTAAATTATTACCAAATTTGGATATAAATCAAGAATAAGACTCGATGCCGTACACATCAAAGGAATTACTTCAAGCTTTATTCATTTTCCCAAGTATTTGTATGCCATCCAAAACATACTTGGGTTTTTTGTTAATGCGAAGACAATATTTCCATATTTCTTGATGTGCTCCATTGAATGACTAGTTATCATATTGTTCCCATAGACAAAATGACTGCAACCACATTATTTAACCATGAACCAAATTTATGTAATTTAAATAATACTTATCCACGCCAGTACAATTAGTGTGTCCTACACAGGTAGGAAAAAATGCATTTTATTAAATTACTATTATTAAATATGTTTACTAATCGTATATGTAAATTATCATATTGATGATGCCTGTAAACTGGCGTCATGTGAGAATATATTATGAATCACTATGGGGCCAGACCTTTGTCGTTATTTCCCAAGCTCAGTGAGGACACTCAAGTGACACAGGTTGTCACAGTTTCGCACCACTGTGGTGTAATGAGGCATGCGGAAGCGCCATAAACTGAGTTTGCTGCTTCATTATCCCCTGGACTCGCTTTTCGTAGCACCAAATCTGTCCGCTATTCCTGTGATCTGTCTCACACCATTGTTTGAGCACTGTGGTCCATTACTTTTGGTGGCTGATTATGAAAGCCATTGGCCGCAGTGAAGTGATCGACCTGAATTGAGCGGGGAGAGGCAGTCAACAGATGGAAACTACCCGAGAACCTCCAGGGGCAATCTGCGATGACAGTTATCTCTATTGCAACACATCATGAGTGTGTTTCTCGTGGTCAGTGCTTGCCTCCATTTCTGGAACACTTGCGTGACTATGGAGGCGTAAGTCCTATTGGCTGCCTCACTATTCGGCTCACTGCCCACGGCCTCTCTGGTTTTATCCTTACACTTGAGGTTTTCTCCATGGTTGGTGCTCGGGAGGGTAATAGCAGATACTGGACATTTCAGGCGGAGCCTTATGGAGGCGGCTCATCTTGATTTTTCTGGGTAAGGTTTGATCGTGTAACCTCGGTATAGGTTCATTCCCTGGTTGATTGTCTTCCTTTCTAAGGTGAGTAACCCTAGCCTGCTTCAGGGTGTTACTACTCCATGTCACACTGCCAGGACAATGTTTGCTAGCGGATGCAGGTGGTCTTCTCGCAGTACCACAGTTCCCTGTCGCCTGCACCAAGGTGTTTGTGAGGTTTATTTGAGTACAGTGTTTGTTTGATGTGGCTTCAGGTGTTTCTGCTTCCTCTAGATCAATACTTCCGGTCAGATGAGCATTTTTGACCGCCTTTGTTGGTGTTCTGTTGTTTCCCAACGAAACAGTGCCTGAGACTGTGTAGGAAGGACAAAGTAGACGTGTGCTCCAGAAACACGGACATGGGTAATTTCGCATAAACATACAGTGCGGTTTCGACACTCGTTTGTCACATCGGCAGTGCACCCATCGTGTGCGAAATTGCGTTCGAAAGCTGAGTCGGTTCGCAGAAGATACAACTACAGACCCTGCCCTCGAAATCTTTTGACCTCCTGAGTGCTCATTTTTATTTTTCCTGTAGCGTGAGATATCACTTTATTATGGAGATAGGTGTGGTAAGGTGTCCACTTAGTTCAACCTGAGGAGTCCAGTTACTGGAGTATGGTGGCATGCCAGAGTAAGATACATGTGATCAGGCCTCTGTGACCAGTATGCTAGGCGGTGCTAATTTCGCCTCTCTGTTACCTCCCATAGGTAAAACTCTAGTCGCGGCAGAATGTGATGTAGTAATGCACTTTCAAGACAAGAATCGACTGTCATATTACCACTAGTCGTCAAGTGTGATTAAAAACAATAAAACATAAAATGTTTTCCAGGTGGAATAGTAAATAGAAGACTGATATAGTATGCGGAAATTTTTCCCAACTCTACGTCGAACTTTCGGGTTATTCGGCTTCGCAGCAATAACGTAAACTAACAATTCTTGTTTATTTGACCGGGTGAGAGAAGATGCTGCCACGAAAGCATCACCTGAAGGTTTGGAAGCAAATAAAGACACCTGGACTTACCCAAAGGCACTTCAGTGTGGAAGTAATGGGTGAAGAAGATTCACCCGCTAGGAAGGCAAGGTTTCCCAGTTAGATGGTGCACCAAATAGGCCTTTACCTGTTAGAGAAGAAAAAGAACTGTAGTGTTCCCAAGTATGAACGACAAATTCTTATAATCATGAAGAAAGCTTGATAAATTTATTTGTTTTTACAATAGCTCATAACAAGAGCAGAGCATAGCTAATGTTGAACATCTTGAATAACCTTTTCCTAAGTGTTTATATACTCTTACAAACTGCGAATTTTCAATTAGGGATAATGAGTTCATGTGGACAGTCAGTTAAAAGCTTCTTTTCGAACCTTGGAAGGAAGAAAACTATATCGGATGAGGGAACGAAAAAAACCGAACTAAAAAGATGTCTAACTGCATTTGATCTCGCTGCCTTAGGTAATAAACATAGTTTTGTAAGAATTTATATAACAGGCATTGGAACAACATTGGGTGCTGGACTATATATTCTAGTTGGAGATGTGGCTAGAACCGTGGCAGGTCCAGGTGTCATGTTGTCATTTTTTGTTGCTGCAGTGGCTTCTGTTTTGTCCGGTAAGTCTCCAGAGTGATTCGATGAATAATGATTTTGAAAAGACTAAGATGTCCGTTTTATATTTACAGCAAAATTTAGTTCAGCATATTTAGACTCAAATTGTTTGATTACTTAGGCCTATCTCATCACATAATCAATTACATTTACTAAGTGATCAACAATAAAATATTCTGATCCTGACTCTTCGAGCTGGTTATTCTAATACACCTTTTAAATGGCTTTCTAATAGGGTGTAACAGTTAATGATAAAATACTGGGAATAGCCAAAAGTGTCTTCTACCTCTGAATGGTATTCAAAATATTTCAACTAACTTGTTTGCGTAATCATTATCTTAATCCACCACTCTATACTGATTTTTTACGAAGTATTTTACAATTGGAGCAGTATGTGACCGTGAAAGTAATGTTTTTGGAAAGTTTCCTTGCACGAAGTGTGGCTGCGCCACGTGATGACCAATAAACTAGTTAATATCAAATAACTTAGTATCACACTAAGCGATGTTAGTAAATTTGGGAATCTTATGCAATTATGTCAATGTATATATGGCTAGATTCTCTCATTTCTCTGTTTGTTTGAACCCATAATCCTTAGTAATACCTCAGCTGTCTTTTATCCTACTAAAGGAATTATTTCTTGCCATGGTTTTTCAATGAGATATGTTGCCTGAATGTCACGCAGAAATGGGTTACTGTTGTTTAGCCCTATTCTCTGGCAGATTGTTGTATTATATATTATCCTGTTTGTTAAATCAAACTCAGTCAGTAATGCTAAGCACAATCAGTTCTACAACAAACCATTTCACACACATGATAAGTATTCTTACCTAGCGAATACTATTTACTATCTTTTTTCCTGGAAAAAAATCATAACAATGTGTAAAATACTATAAATTAGTGAGGAAAATTTGTAGTATAGATGAACTTTTCTTGTGCCGCTTTGTTTTCTCAGCTGGATGGTTTAAATGTGTAATTTTAGTGTTATTATAGGCAACATCTTCAACACCAACTTCGATGTAAAGTAAATTACTACAATAATGATTGAACCTAAATTATATAAAAGTAATAAGGCGTATACTGCTTGGGTGAGACTTCGAAATCTAACAAGTGATCAACGACCTAGCACTGTATTTCCACACCATTTGCAGTTGTTAATATAAGCCCATTATGATCATCACGAGATTCTGTTTTAGTAATTAGGGGAGTATATGTTAACTTCAGTATAAAAGCAGTCTGTTAACTTGCCCTGTGCACGATTGCATGCTTGCTACCAGCTCTTAGTCTCAAATGGATAAATAATCTCTGAGGCCCAAATTTAGCTTTCGTCGGACATAAATAAGCTCTTACAACTAAAATACTTAGTGAGAAGTTAATTGAAATTCACTCGATTCTGTTTTGCCGTATGTCAACACAAAATAAAAAGAAATTATGATACTGTTGTGGAAATTGTACTAGGTTAAATAGGTTTGATTTGCTTACAAGTTTCTAGAATTTACCACTCCATATGGTTTATTATCTCAAAACGGAGAAACAATTACTGTAACAAAAAATCTATTTAAATCTACTTAAGTATACCCAAAAATGTGACGACGATATTTATACGGCTTATCTTTACACAAAGGAAAAACAGTTATCTTAAGATTTAATTGATTTATGTTTTTATGAAGAACAGTAGTGAATAAATTCTAAGAATATTTTTAAGGCATCGTATAATGTTTTTAAGCGAACACCACAATTTTTTAAATACCTTAGCATGATCAGCTACAGGTTGAGTTTGTTCTGTGCAGAACATTCGGCAATAAAATGTGCTCGAACTTTTATGTATGTTTTTTGGGTTACTCAAGATTATTGCTGAAATACTTATACTTTGTGAAAACTTTTCCGATTACTTATTTAATTTTTATATCATTCTTAGTACATTTATGCCCAGACTGACTTGATCTGAAATTTTATCAATGTGAAGGCAGCTTCGGTTCATCTATTCTGTTGGGTGACTCTGAGAAATGCTTTACTTCGATGCGCAATGTTTGTTTGTTGTTATTGTTTATGGAAGCTTCTCAATACCCAGAAAAAAATATGTCATTTATGGATTACGAGACAGACTTGGCATTTATATTAAGGCTTAGGATTGTGTAACTTGGTTTAATTAAACCAGCAGTAATAATGTCTGCAAAAATTGTGAATTGTGGTGTTAAATTCATCCCATTATATCTAGCTGTAGTTTTAGACTATTTTCTCTATTTCTTCATTATTACTTAATGTGGTATCATACAGTCTGTGAGGTAGAATAATAAGTCTTTACTACACGGAAGTGCAGTTTTTCGTTTTGTATTTTCCATTTTCTTGAGCTAAAACTATAGAAAATATTTCTTCTGTGTAGAATTGCGATGATTTTTTAAGGTTTCTGTAGACACCTAAGTGCGTAAAATATATGTCTCTAAAAGTATAATGTTTACTTGTAAAAGCAATGAGACTATAAAGATTTCATAAATACACAATGACACTGATGAAAGCACAATTTACTTTCATATTCGTCAAGGCAAAAGGGATATTTATAAAATTATGCTGCACTGAATTCCATATTATTTTACTACACACTAATAACCACTACTTTTTCATATGCTACAGGCTTATATAGCAGCTTCATATTTCTACATATTTACTGGAAGCATAATATAACTTGATAGGATTCACATTTACCTTAAACAAGAGTGACGAATACTTTTACACCGAAAATATATAGTCCTTAGCACATAGATGACTACATTGTATCTAGTGTGTTGTTCTGTCGTTAATGATTACTTTCGTTCGGAAAAGCAGTTTAATTTTTCATCACAGGGCGTTTCTCTCATATTGGTAAAGGTCATATAAACTTCTCATAGGCATGTGGGAGAAGTGCTTTGTGTGTTTACGGTAGTTATTTCTACCCAACCATATACGCCACGGGAACTAATTTCTTATTGGAACACTTGAAACAGGGACAGCGTTATTGTTGCGTGACTTCAGGCAGGACCCAAATAGCCTATGTGGAGTGACTTTAGAAGTTGTGGCGGTATGGATATCTGGCTACCGATTACAGACTATTGCAAAGTAATCTGGGGTGTACATTTCTTGGAGTTTACCTTTTCTAATCTATTTCAGAATGATAAGGTAGTATAACTAACTTTGGAATCGTTTGACGGGATCACATTATTGCTGTCATCCTCCTATTTGACAGCGGTAAGACTTCGTCGTCAAGCCCCCAAAATAATGCAGAGGACTTATACCATATAGTAACTGCTTTTAGTCTAACCTCTAAGCGATTTTTCTGACGTGGTAAAGCCATCAGAAACATTTATTCCGATGGTTATAGCTCACTGGGTCATTAGGATATGCACCACCACATGAAGTGAGCAGCTGTAGGTTGGCGACACTGGCATGTAGTCTAACTTACCCTTGATCCGGTACACTGGAGAGAAATGGACATCTTCGAGCTTGTATTTTTCTCATAGTTGAGTCTGCCAGAAAGCTTAATTTCATTCATTTACTGCGTGTCTTTGAATTTACTTGAGAAGACAATAAAATTACAAATAAAATAGCAAAAAATTTAAGATTTAATCATTTCATTTATCTGTTAACGCGTTTAACTTGCATGAGGCATTGTCTGAAGGCGTTTTATTTACTTAGATCACTTCACGGACTGAAGAAAAGAGGTGCTGCCTTTCTTTTTATCTATACGCCTCACTTTAACTTACATCCAGTGATCATCAAGGTGTTTGAGTTCCTCCACGTCGCCTTCCTGGTCTCTTCTGTCTTACAATAACCAGGAAATAATAGTGACTCACACGGAAAATAAGATGTTTATGTGATTTTATACTACTAATAAAGAAGAGAATTGTGACTGATATTTTATGATCTACTCTGGATGTTTCTGTTCCACTTAAAGTTCATATTACTGCCTCTAAACACCACACCGGTGGATGTTTCCGAGAGAGCATGAAAAATCAAGTTCGTAGAGCGAAGGCCAGTATAACTTGCTCCCCGAGTGCAGTTGAATTGGTAGATACAGTGAGAAGTGGTTAGTCTAGGTACAGTATCTTTCAATTGGGGAATCACCACTGGTGGGCTAGAACTTAATTTTTCGTGCTCTCTCGGAAACACCTTACAGTATGGTGTGGCTAAATAAAGGTGTAGTAAAAACCATCAACAGTTCAATATTAAACCGTCTGGTTCAAACCGGCAGGCCACAAAGCCAGCCAGCGTTGAAGAATCCTTCTCTATCATCTACCAGGTGCCGAATAAATTACTAAAATCATCGAAGCACCGCATGCTTCAAACAGCAGAGGCTGTTGCAATTCGTCTCAAACAACCAGTGCTCTGGGTTCAAAAGAAGCAAGTCCAGCCACTACTACTGCCCTGGCTGGCCTTCAGTAGAGATTAGAGATTCATGAATTTTTAATATAATCTTTCCTGATTTTTCTGACATTCAGTTTATTGTTATGTTGATGCTACTGAACTGTAATCCGCTTATATTATTGATTCGATGTTATTTAAACAAAATTAATGTTGTTCATAACACTAATTCATTCATTCACTATAATGTAGATATAACTGTAGAGCCTGATGATGAAGGGGTTATCGAAAAGAGTATTCTTTGTTCACTATCCATTCTTTTGAAATATTTTAATGGACATTTTTAATCAATTTAGATTTATCCGATAAGATGGTCGCCATTTTACTTATATAGTCCTTGCGATTCATGCTCAGGATTCCCCCAATTTTTTTCAGGGAGTATCATTATGATATCTTTTAACTACCCATCAATTCTTCCAGCTCTTTGTAATGTTTATTGGTTAATATATTGACCTTTTGCTTGATTTAGTATTTACAGACTTATGAGAAATGTCAAGAACTGATAACTTCAATTGTTTCAGGTTCTGTTCAAATGTTGATACCAGATCACATGTTTGTTTTATCAGGTTTTTCTTTTTCGTTTTTAACTACACCACTGGGTGACTTGAGGTCAAATCTCACATGATTGTAGATTATAGATAGACGAGTGTCAGAAAGCACGAACCGGATTGCCTAGTCGTCTAGTTTTTGGCGTATACAGTATGACAAAATGACTGAAACAATTCACGTGAAATGAAACGTGTTGAAAATAATTGGTGATGTTAACATAGTGTTATTCAAGTGAACTCTAGTCACTGTAATTATCATGATTTGTATTCACATGATTCTGTCACTAGTTATAATTTCTGTCAGAATGCATTTTTTCTATTTTGAAAACCAAGGAAGCCTTAAATTGAACTGTATTCAACAGTGACACTATTATATTAATACATCTTTATTACTGTTTTACTACTTATATTTAAGTATAGTGAAGAGAAATCACAAGAGTACACAGATCAATTCACAAGTTTACTGACTTACTCACATGATAAAATAACCAAATAATGCAAAAAGAAGTGATGAAAGGTCAGATACGTGACACATTCAAACAGAAAGCATTTTAGACGATTAGCATCATACATCACATACTTGATGAATTAACTATATAATGATAGTGCTAATGTTTTGTATCTAAAACTCTATGACCTAACTTGAATCACGAAGTTGACATAAAAGTAGAAAATATCAGTGAAAAATGAAAATGTGGCCCAAAGACAGTGCTCTGGACAGGCAGTACAACTTGGTTGGGGGGGGGGGGTCTTTTCTGTGATATTCAACTCATTCACTAATGTCTTCAACTAGGGTGGGGGAATCAATGATCTTCAGGTTACTGGGTGATCTCATTGAGTATTCAGTCAGTGTCTTGGGATTCTTTGATGAATAACCCTTTAAGCGATGCAATATTATCACTTTCACACTAGAGGCGGCATTCGATTCTGTCGACAGAGAGGTTCTCTGGCGATGCTTGGCTGTAAAGAGAATGCAGGGAAAATACGTTGCACTGATTAAGGCACTCTACTCGTACTCATGCAGCCAAGTGAGGGCTTACGGCGAGTTGTCATCTGAAAAGGTGACGACTAGTGGAGTCCGTCAAGAATGGCCATTATTCCCATTTCTATTCAACTTCATCATAGACGTACTAATGAACTTGACCATAACGCACTTCAGCGACTCAGGGATTGACTTGCTACCAGGGAATAATCTCGTTGACTTGGAATATGAAGACGATATAGTCCTTCTAGGCGAGGACGCTGACAAAATGCAGAGTCTTCTGAACACCTTGAGCTGCAATCTAAGAATGTTTAGCATGCGATTCGCCCCTGTAAAATGTAAGATGATGCTGCAGGATTGGACCTCACCGATCCCTAGATTAGAAATAGGAAGTGAAGCGGTAGAGCACGTTGATCGCTTCACTTACTTGGAAAGTACTGTCAGCTTCAACGGGTTGATCTCTGACGAAATCTCGGCAGGGATACAGAGGGCTAGTTTTGCATATGCCAGTTTACGCCGTCTCTGGCGTAGACGTGATATCCGGCTGGCTATCGACCAAAGGGCGTGTGTATCGCTCATCTGTCCGCTTCGTCCTCCTTTACGGCTGTGAGACCTGGCCACTGAGGGCGGAAGACATGAAAAGATTAGCTGTCTTTGATCATAGGTACCTGCGTTCTATCTCCCGCGTGAAGTGGTATAATAAGGTAAGCAATATTGAGGTTAGGCGTCGAGTGCTAGGTAAGGAGGGGAAATCAATCGAAGAGGCTGTGAAATTACATCGACTGAGATGGTTAGGACATGTGTTACGTATGCCTAGTCATCGCCTTCCTCGACAATGGGCAATGTTAGCTGATATAGGATCAGGCTGGAAAAGAGCTAGCGGCGGTCAAACCAAAACATGGCACCAGTCAATGAAATCTACAACAGTTAGTCTAAGCCACGTAGGAAGGTGTAGACTTCTTGACTGGTTGGGGTCCTCGGGACGGTAAAAACCAATGGTTGGAAACAATTGGTGACATGGCTCAAAATCATTCTCAATGGCTGGTACAGATACATTGACTCCTTGTGACTTATGATTTCCAATGAAACTATATTGTTCTTCGTTATTACTATTCCTTTGTCTCTCACCTCTGTTTACTGTCTCTAATATGCATTTCTCCTACTTTCTTCTCTCGCTTTGTGTGTTACATGGAGTGTGGCGACTTGAACTGTCGCACATATGTGCAAAGTTCTACGTCGAAAACAGACAGACAGACACCAAACATTCTAGTTGGTATTTACTGTGATTTAGAATTCTAGTTTTTGTAGACATTTATGACAAATTTAATAATTCTGTATGTTTCTTAGTTGTAGTAGATTAATATTTAGTGTTGGTTGTGTCCCATGGTAGCACAGTGTAACCTGGTTGGTTCTTGATGAAGAATCTCGATCTACCGAGAAATAGCTGTCCAGTAATTCTTGGTTTTCGATAGTTCTCCAAATGATATATAGGCCCTTGCTGCAATCTTACCTGAAATCCCTTCAAGCTTGAAAACACTGACTAACTAACACTACTGGTCAGGTTATAAAACCCTAATTGTCGGAAGTCAGAAAAAAACAGACTACTGATATCTTGTTCACTGGTGAATTTGAAACACACTTTGTTATAAAACACAATCATATTATGTTATTTGGTTGATGACGGCTGGTAGTGGAATCTTAGACTCGCGTTTCTTCTTACCTGGTGCTCGTCAGTTGGGCATATCTTCATCCCTGTGAGTGATGGTGCTCCCACAGATATTCGAACCGAGTACCTATCGTTTTAGACACCAGGCCAGTGGTTCACAAGAGTCACTTCTTATGCAACTGGATTGAATATTTCGATCCGACATAAATAAGTCAAAAGGATGTACAAAATAACTTAAACAACGATAGTTATTCTATTGGTTGTTATATTCTGCAGATAAAAGTATTACTGTCCAACTTTCTCATACTCAGAACAATTTTGTTAAGAAGAATGAAAAATGATCCACTCAACAATTTAGAGAAGACAGTTTTCTTTATCATTAAAGCCATATTGAAATATTAGAGAAGATTTGTAGATCAGGTGGATGATTTGCAATTGACAGTGTTCTCTGAGCTGGTTGGTTTAGTTGCAGAGCTTTCGTCCTCCCCCTTCTGGACAACATCTTCAGCTCAGCGCAATTTTCAGCATAAAGTGAACTGATTTAAATTTTTTCCATGAGTGATAGAATTGCGTCTCCTGGTAACCATCTTTACATCTGTAGTGATCATTTTTTATTGACTTGGATTTTGAACTTTCTCGTCACATGATTTACTTTTTATTAGTTGGTAGATCTGGTCTACATAACCAACCATGTTTGTTAATCGCTGGCTGATTCGTTTGAGTACCAGGCTTCTAGGAATTCCCTGGCAGTATTTTTGGTGTTTCCTCTGTTTAAAATTTCGACATTATCCCAATCATCAAATTGGTGTCCATAATTATCTATATGCATTGATATGAAAGAAATATATATCATGTCTTTTCACAACTGATTTGTGTTCTTGAATTCTGATTCGAAGGGGACGCCCTTTTTGGCCGATGTAATGCCTGTTACAGTTCACACAATTTATTTTGTAAATGGTATTAATTTTATCTCCTTTTTCTGTTGGATCTTTCGGTTTGCACAATATCGAATTAAGTGATTTGACTGGCTTGTGTGTTATATCTATTTCAGACGGTTTCAATATTCTAGCTGTTATTTCAGAGATATTTATTTACTTTTTAAAGCCATCTTTAAGGGATGGCGTTTAGTAAAAGGTTTGTTGAAAGATTACATTATCACCGTTAGATGACTAAGAGCGGTTAGTCGACTTCCTGTCAACTGGGCTTTATTATTCTTGTAAAGTATTAAAATCGAGGTATATCTACATGATTATGAAGGAATCGTCCACTTTGGGATTCGAAATTCATTTAAAACAGGGTATACCTCTGATGGCCAGAAAAGATCAGCAACAGAGATCTCTGGCAATGAGCGAACCAACCAGGAACCAATTGTGAAACAAATAGGCAGAAAGAAATGAAAATGGATTGGCTATACTCTGAGGAAACCATCAAGTGACATCACTAGACAAGCCATTGCTCGAGTGGAACCCGAAAGGGAAGCGGTGAGTTGGTCGTCAGTGCAAGGGTGACTTGGAGGAGGTCATGTGAAGAGGAGATGAAAGCATGTGGGCAGACATGGAGCCAGGTGAAGACTCTAGCAGAGAACCGAACTCAATGGAGACGCACGGCTGAAGCCCTATGTTCCTCTAGGAATTAAAGGAAACAATAATAATAATACTTCTGATCGACTTGGTCCCAAACGTACAAAAATTACTGTCCAGTGTTTAAACAACTTTGATATAGCTGAAAAGCATTACTGGTCGGTGTGGGGGCTCTGCAGCTGTTCACATTAATCAGTAATAGATATCCCAGTATACATTTACTCAAGTGATTATCAGTAATGTTAAAAAAAGGAACTTCACCTCTATTGCAATTGAGCATTCCTTCTTTTTTTAGGACTGTGCTATGCAGAATTCGGTGCTCGTGTACCGCAAAGTGGATCAGCTTATATTTATAGTTACATTACTGTTGGAGAACTGATGGCTTTTGTGATCGGATGGAATCTAATCTTAGAGTACATAATTGGTAAGTTGTCTGCAGTAATGAGCACTTTACATTAAATGTCAATAAAACAAACACTTTTGACGCTAAAGTAGTTTGCATGGAGGATTTCATCATGAGCTGACATCAGTTAGAGAACCACTGGAAAACCCTGGGAGTACTGGACAGCTGTTTCGTCCTAGTTTGGGACTCTTCACAGTACGCACCCACCGGGGGCTAACAATGGAATCCAAAATGGATATTTCCTCCTGATTATTGAAGTTAGTCAATTGAATGTGCCAGTATTCCTAGTGTGAATATCACCAGTATCACCAGTGACACTTAAACCTGGCACCAATTTTTTTTTCACACGTCAAAATGTCGTATTCTAGGCCTTCAGACAAGGTAGTGCGGTTCAGTGAAACCAATCGACGAGGAATTCATGTAACTTTAATAATGATACTAATAATTTTAAAACACTTATCGATACTTGTTCCCCTTTTATGAATAATAAATAATTATCTTCTATATTGTAAAGTGAAAATATTCCCCTCGTCATTCCAAGAACTCTGTTGCACACTCAAAAGTGTAAAAATATGATTTCATGCATTTATTCCCCTTGATGAATTTGAGTAAGGCAAGAACAACAGTAGTTTGTGCAGAATAATATGGTACCATCATTGTTTATTTTGTTGGCTTCCCATCAGCTGCTTGCTTACAGCCCAAATAATTTATGAGGTTTATGTACAGGAAAATTTTAACACACTTGCAAATTGTTTCTCATGGTGACAGTTGACAGAAAGTTCCACAATTAGTGGACAGTGCTCAGTAAATGGCGTTTATATAGTTTCTACACAGGCAGTTCAAGTTTAAACGAAATAAATGTATGCATACATTAGTAAAGGAGTTATGTAACAAAGACGAGAGGTGAGTAAAATGATGAGTGACTAATAAATTATGTAACAATGTACTTAGTTCAACTGAAATCATAGAAACAAGAGACAAGCAAAATTACACTATGTCAAAGGCGTGAGGTTTAAGCCAAATATTACGTTATCAAATGGAGGCGAGAGAGAATAAAGACATCCAGTTACCGGACAAGACAAGGAAAGACTAATAACTGCTTCTTTCTGAAAACATAAATCTGCTTTCAAGCGTTTGATAGAAATTGCTTCAACAAACTTGAGGAGAATCGAGCTCCTTTGTCTATTGATAATTTCCAAGGATTTCGTGATTTACACCTCATGACCCGTATCGAGGAGATGTCTGATAATAGCACCATTATAAGAGTTTGTACCCTTGAGACGTAGGCTTTTCGGCACATGTTCAGAAAATGGGAGGTGTGTTCTTCTTTCTGTTCTTCCAATGTAACTGCTCACCAGATACACGTGAATTTGTATACACAGTTGGAGTTAACACGAGACGGGTATCTATCGACTCTTCACTGCACCAAAGAGCATGTTGTTCGATAGACGGGAACCAACCTAGCTAGCTGCAGGATAGGCTCTGGCTGGTAGTGACGTCCTCAGTCTTCTGTTGATCATTACTGCAATGTTTTCACCTTTAAAATCTACTTGAATAAAGACAGGCTTTTTTTCAAATGTGATTTGTTTGATGTTTGAGCCTTCACATCTCCCATTCATTAACAAACGACTGACATCATGTAAAATGTGCAAGTACGTTAAAACTTTCTGCACATAAACCTCATAATTTATTTAGGCTATAAGCAGCTGAGCTGATGAGAAGCCAACAAAATAAACAATGATGGTACCATATTATTCTGCACAAACCATCACTGTTGTTCTTGCTTTATTCAAAAATATGATTTAAAGAGGACTACGGACATGATAAATATTAATTACGGTATTTTGATTTTAGACAGGGCGGGTTAAGTTCACCTTGTCGCGGTGAAGCAGGTTATCATTGATGAAACTGGTTTGTAGTAGCTGCATATGATGAATTGACAAAGTGAGAACTCATAAGGTGTGTGATACTGATAAGATTTATGAGTAGTATGTAAAGAGACGCGTTCATCGGCAGAAATATATCAAAAAGCGGAGAGATAGATTTGATGTCAGATAGCAGAAATCAGCCAGTATTGCGGCGAAACATGGGAGACACGAACAAAAGACAAGAAACACATTGCGAAGGAAGGATAGAAGTAGCACAACAACACGGAAGATCTGTGCGCAAATGACGATTTGGAGAAAAGGTGTACAGAATTTCGCTGTATAGGGATACCGAATTGCAAATAAACATTCCCTTACCAAGTCGCTTGTCCTTTACCGTTACATTCCTGGGTCACTGAATTCCAATCGAGTGGCTGAATGGACAACGGAATGACCTCTTAATTCGGAGGTTGAGGAGTTGTTCTCTGGCTGTGTCATGCGTGCAGCCTGCAGAAGAATCGCAAACTAGGGAAAGGCAGCTATTCAGCACTCCTTGGTTTTGATTGGTTGTCTAACTGATATCAGTTTTGTGGCTGAAAGTACATTGAGAAAAAGGGTATTTGGTAAACAGTAAAGGGAAATGAGATTTTAATATAAACTGGACGAGTTTTTAGTTCACAAGTTTTGTAGACATTGAAAGACAAAGTTGCTTATTTGAATTAATACTGACTTTTGTTTTTGATTTTTAAGGCATTCCAATAAAAGGCTGAAATCAGATTCTACATTCATAAGCAGAGTTAATACACCACTTGGTCTTGTTATATTCCTTTACGTTCTCAGTGGAACATAAGGGCTTTAAGCTAGAGGCTTGAATTTTCTGTATCAGTTGTGATTATTTTTACAGGATGGGGTTGCTAGCCTCATACCCAAAGTTCCCTCTTTACCAGTCTTATTACTAGCTTAACGAGGTAAATGAATGCGTCGGTAGCCGGGTATCGAACCCCGGACCACCTGCGTGGTCGGCAAGCACTCTACCGTTTTGCTACCGGGGCACACTTGGTCTTAGAAAGTTTTATTCTATATCACTATTATATTTGTGAACCACCTTCATATATATTTAAAATAAAACAGCAACACATGAGTCAGCAAAGAGACTTATCTGTTTTCGTGAAATCACCTCAAAGTTGTACACTTATTCAAGGCGGTTTACATATGCAATGCAGATTGACATCAGAAGTCAGAGATTATTGTCAGTTAATAACAAGGCAAAATCAAAGTGCATGAGTAGTAAGAATGCTTGGAAAATTAGGGATAGTCTTACGTAATCACGGGGAGAGAGAGAGCATTGTCATGTCGTTTGATGTAAACCAAAATCACACACTCAATGATTGGTTAACGAATATAAAACTGTATTTGATGGTTGGAGGCAGTCATAGGGAAGCCTTGCCGGGACCTAGGTTTCGTGCTAGCTGGAACTCACCAGTCAGCAAGGAGCATCTGCAAGCTTGAAGGAACTCATGTCTCTTCTGAGATTGGAACCCGCGTCTTCCAAAGAAAGGACTAGACACATCACACTAGTTACTAGTGTCCAATTAAAATACCCACTAGACTCCTACAGGAGGTCAATTGCGAGCCAGGATAACTCAGTGGTAACGTCTGTGACTGCAGGTGGCACTGAGTGACGTGGGTTAGAATCTCAGAAGGGATATGAGTTCCTTCAAGGTTGCAGTTACATCTTGCTGACTAGTGAGTGCTAACTAGCACGAAACCTACGTTCCGGAAAGGTTTCCCTCCGATTGCCTCCAACCATCTAATACCAACAATTCACAGTGCACCGTGATGGCGAATCACCTAGCATGGTAGCCACATTACAAGCTTGACTGATAGAATTCAGTTTGCACGAAACAGAGGGCTAGACACATTACACCAGTTACTGACTAGTGTCCAATCAAGAATATAAACTGCTTATGTATCAACAGCAGTTTGATTAATGAAAAAATATACCTTGGCTTCTGTATTTTGCCTTCTGTTATTACACTACTAGTGTTTTCATTACCATCTTTTTTGATATTTGATTTTCACATCATCCTTAGCCGTCCAGTTTATCTTTACTCTTATATACTCTCTGATAAAGTTATCAGGGTAATTACTAAGTACCATAGCTTCTTTTACAGTGTCTTACTTCATTGTAGAGTATTTCAATACTAAGTAAGTAAGACTCACACAAAACTTGGAGGATCTGGACTTCGCCGATGATGTATGTCTGATTTCCAACAAACTGAAAGGCATGCAAGCGAAAGGCAAAGAGTTAGCAGAAGAGGCATCAAAGATAGGACTTCAGGTGAACATTGAGAAAAAAGAGGTGCGTGATGAAGATTCCTGGGCAATACCACGAACAGCAACAACAACAAAAAGAGACAACAATCAGCATAAATGGAAGGAACCTGAAAGAAACAACCTCTTTTACCTACCAACCTGGAAGCATCGTTTCAACTAAAGGCGGACGGAACTGATGAGGATATCAAAGCAAGAATTGGAAAAGCAAGACAAGCTTTCACTACTCTTAAGTCTGTGTGGAGGTCAACAGCACTCAGCATGAAAATGAAAATAAGATCCGGATTTTCAACTCCAATGTGAAGTCAGTGCTACTATACGGATCAGAGACTTGCACTGCGGGTCATAAAGAGCATCTCAAGCAAACTACAGACCTTCATTAACAGTTGTCTTCGCTCAATACTCAAGATCAGATGGCCGGCCAGAAAAGATCAGCAACAGAGATCTCTGGCAATTAGCGAACCAACACAGCAGGAACCGACTGTGGAACAAATAGGCAGGAGGAAATGGAGATGGATTGGCCATACTCTGAGGAAACCATCAAGTGAGTGACATCGCTAGACAAGCCATTGCTCCAGTGGAACCCGAAAAGGAAGCGGCGAGTTTGTCGTCAGTGCAAGAGTGGGTGACTTGGAGGAGGTGATGTGAAGAGGAGGTGAATACGTGTGGACAGACTTGGAGCCAGGTGAATACTCTAGCAGAGAGCCGAACGCAATGGAGGCGCACGGCTGAAGCCGTATGTTCCTGTAGGAATTAAAGGAAACAATAATAATAGTAATAAGTAAGATGTGTTTTGCTTGTAGGTGTACAACTTTAAGAAGTATTTTTGATTGCTTTTCAAAGCATTAATGCTTGTCAACAAATGATGTAATTATTAAAATTAGTCAGAAAATAAATTTAAATTGACATGTGTATTACTCTACTTTTGTAAATGTAGACAATAAACTTTTTATTTACTTTAGGTACAGCGAGTGTGGCTCGTGCATGGAGTTCCAATTTCGATGGATTACTCAATGGTCAGCTGACAGAATTTTTCCGTAAACATTTGTCAATGAATTTATCCGGTTTATCTGAATATGCAGATCCACTCGCTGTGGCAACTATTGTCCTGATGACAAGTAAGAATGTCTCATTATAACACACTGTCATAATTTTAACTTTTAAACACATATGCAAAAGTATAAGCAGCAGGAGCAGCAGTTAACAGCATCAATCTGTAGTGCTTTTTGACCACCGGTTTCAGACACACTGGAAGGCGTAGACTGTCTGCTTGGAGCAATTAGGGTGCTAAAAACCAATGAGTTGAGACCATTAGTGATATTCATGAAATATCCCCATTTGAACATTAACAGGCAGAAGACCAGAATTTAATTGGTGGATGGTGACTAGCAGTGGAATCCAGGATGCGCATTTCGTCCTATTTGGGACTCCTCATCTGGATGTACCTGCATGTCCGAATGAGTGGTGATGTTCTCATTGAGGCTCGAACCCAGTGCCCATACTTTCAAACGCCAAAGCGTTATCCACTATACCACCTGGGCCATGAGAGCCACCTCTTAGGCAACGGGTCATATTAACTATTTAATTGAATTTTAAATTTTCCCAGAAGACCATTAGTTCAGCGAAGAGTCTCTTTTCGCCAGCTAATTCATTTTCGTAGCTGTACAATCACAAGTATATATGGTTGTTTTGTGTGTGTGTACATTAAATTTGTCAAACGAAAATACAGTTAGTAGTCATTGTTCACCAACGTTCCACTCACAGACACTGTCTGTCATATTTGTCAATATCGAGACGAAAACCAGCTGAACATTGGATTTCCGATAACTTGTTTAAAAGAACCCCTACTGAGATGCACACTTAATGTGCAATTCACATTCAATGATGTTATATACGGACAACAAGAGGGGATCACAATGGGATCTCCACTGAGCCCATTGCTAGCAGACTGCTTCATGGCAAACCTCGAGAACGGTCCACTCAAATCAACCATTGATAATTTCCAATTGTATGCTAGATATGTGGACGACATCTTTATTATCTGTGATGATGGTCACAATCTTAATCAGTTACTACAAATATTCAACAACTGCCATTCAGCTACAAAGTTCACTCTTGAAATTGAAAACGGATCTAAAATTCCTCTTCATGATGTTGAGCTTACAAGGAGAGCTTTAAGAAGAACTTTAAGTCCATCCATAGGAAACCCGTATGGAACGGCCAACTGACAAGCTTCTACAGCTAGGTACCAATCAGTCGAAAAAGAAACCTAATTGCATCTCTTGCTACTCGCGTCAGACGAAGAAGAACTACACTTCCTGAAAGAAACCTTCACACAAAACGGATATCCATCAAGATTCACTTAAACAAAAACATCAAACAGAAAATACAGAAGCCAAAAAGATACTTCATATGAACCTCAACTTCAAAGGTGACCCACTCAGTGATGTCCTTAGGAGGAGAATTTCCACTTCTTTAAGAAGAACTTTCTTTACGGCAACATTGAGAGTAGTGTTCTCCAGTCATCCACTGATCTGCAGGAACCCAAAGGACAAGTTCTTGCACCTAACCATTTCTACGTGTATACATCAGTTCACCTGTTGCTGTGGAGCCAGGTACATTGGTCGTTCGACGCGCATCCTGTCAAAAAGGGTCAAAGAACACTATCCTGCATGGCTACAGAAAGGAAGTAGTGGCCATATAAGGAGTGCAATAATCGAACATCTCGTCACCACTGGTCATTCCATCTTAACAAATGCCTCCTCCTTCGAAGTAATCTACAAAGTGAAGAACAACCTTCCAAAGACAATACGTTTCCGTCTTCTTTGTATTGTAGAAGCCCTAGCCATTCAATTAGAAGAACCAGAACTACCCACACATTAGAAAATTATTCAATCACTTCTACTATCATGTGATAACAACTCTGTTGATTTGATTTAACTTTCGATGGTTTGCTTACTTAAAACTCTTGCGTAATTCCATATGTTATTTTGTTTCCATGTACCCCCTAAGCACAACTCTTTCATCAAACTCTTCGTGTTATTACGTAATTCTTATTTAACAATCATTTGTGACAACTCATCACTTCTGTTATTACCCTCTTATATCAACATCTAATTCGTTTGAACTTACTAATTGTATTTTCGTTTGACAAATTTAGTGTACACACACATAAAAACAGCCATATATATTTGAGATTGTAAGGCTATGAAAATAAATTCGCCGGCGAAAAGATGCTCTTTGCTGAACTACTGGTCTTCTGTCTATTAATGTTAATGATATGACTCAAAGTCATTCTCAGTGGCCTAGATGCATTCACTCCTTATTCTTTCTCAAATCCATTATTATTATTATTATTACCTTGAGTTCCAGATAGAAAATAGAGCTTCGACAACACATTGCCACTTTTTCATCTAACGGTTTCCTCAATGTATGCCTTATTCATCTCTATTTTCTCCTGTATATTTGTTGAGTAATCTGCTCTTGTATGTTGGTTTGTTGTCAGCCAGAGTTTCTTCTTGTTACTTATTCTTTCTAACTGGCCATTTGATCTTCAGTATAGAGCCAGCCAGCGAAGTGGGCAGCTGTTAATGAAAGTCTGAAAATCCATTAATTCCTCATTATTATTTCTCCGTCCTACTATTCTTCCTCCCGTACATGTGTGCTCATCATTGTAGTTTTTTTGAATTTTTCTTCCTTTGTATACCTTTGTGTGCTACAGGGAGTGTGACAGCTTGAATGGCATCACTTCTCTGCATAGTTCTACGTCAAAACTGAGCTTGTCAATCAGTTAGAAAGAAATTTAAGTCATTCTATGGAATATCTGTTAGACATTAAACAGTATGCCTATCGCCTATTTACTTACCTTTTTTAATACTGCTGTAACAGTCTTCTGCAGGTGATGCCGAACAAGTTCACAACACGTGACAAGAATGGTAATTTGATTTGAGGATATTAGATGGTTGGAGGCAATCGGCCACAGGAAGCCTTGCCAAGATGTAGGTTTCGTGCTAGTTGGCAGTCGTCAGCAAGCCAGGCGTACCTGCAACCTTGAATGAAGGAACTCATATCCCTTCTGAGATTCTAACCCAAGTCACCCAGTGCCACCTGCAGTCAGAGACGTTACCACTGAGTTATCCTGGCTCGCGATTGACCTCCTGTAGGACTGTATTGGATATTTTGATTGGACACTAATAACTAGTGTGATGTGTCTGGTCCTTTGTTTGGTGCAGACCGAATTCTTTCAGTCAATTTTGCGATGTGCCCACCAGTGATTGCAGCACAGGGTGACGTGGGTTACAATCTCAGAAGAGTCATGAGTTCCTTCCTTCAAGGTTGCAGAAACGTCTTGCTGACTGGTGAGTGCCAACTAGCACGAAACCTAGGTCCCGGCAAAGCTTCCTGCTGATTGAAAACTGTTTCAAATAGTCTCACCACAAATATAATATTTCTGTCTGTCTATCTGGATTCAACATAGAACTTGGCACCGAAGTGCAGCAGCTCCAGTTGCCACGTTCCAAATAGCACACAAAGGTAGACAAAAAAATGAGTGAAGAGAACCAATGGAGTTTTGACAAGTATAAGAGTGAAACAGAATGAGTAATGGTAGCAAGGAATATGAAAGATTACAGAGACTGAATACATCCGCGCTAGCCATTGACAACGATTTTGAGCCATGTCACCTATTGTCTCCAGCCATTGATTCTTAGAGTCCCGAGGGCGGGCCCCAACCCGGAAGTCTGCATCTCCCTCCCTACCTGACTCAGTTTAACTGTCAAGGATTTCATGGATTGATGAGGCCATGTTTTTGTTTGGCCACCACTTACTCTTTTCCAACCTGCACCTATATCAGCTAGTAATGCCCGTCCGTCGGGGGAGGCGATGGTTAGGCATTCGCAGTACGTGACCTAGCCATCTCAATCTTTGTAACTTTATAGCCTCTTCGATTGATTTTCCCTCTTAACCCATCACTCTACGCCCAACATCAACATTACTTACCTTATTATACCACCTAACGTGAGAAAGAGATCGTAGACATCTATGATCAAAAACAGTCAACCTTTTCATATCTTTAACTCGTATTGGCCATGTTTCAGAGCCATAGAGAAGGACGGAGCGAGCTGCTGAGCAGTACACACGTCCCTCGGTTGATAGCCGAATGTTACGCCTACGCCAGAGATGGTGTAAGTTAGCGAAAGCAGCTCGAACGTTTTGGATCCGTGCTGAGATTTCGTCACCAATCAATCCGTTGGTGCTGATACAACTTCCCAAATAGGTGAAGTGGTCAACATGTTCTATCACTTCACTCCCTATCACTATCACTAAGCTAGGAGTTGACGTAGTCCAGTCCTGTAGCAGCATCTTACATTTTACAAGGGCAAATCGCATGCTAAACATACGAAGATTGCTGCTCAAGGTGTCCAGAAGACTGCATTTTGTCAGCATCCTCCCCTAACAGGACTATGTCATCTGCATATTCTAAGTCCATAAGACTATTCTCTGGTAACAAGTCGATTCCTAAGTCGTTAAGTTCAGTTAAGGATACTTCCATTAGCATATCTGCGATGAAGTTAAACAGGAATGGGGAAAGTGGACATCCTTAACGGACACCACTGGTTGTTATCAATTCAGATGACAATTACCCATGAGCTTTTACACGACTACGTTAGTTTGAGTAGAGTGCCTTGATTACTGCAATGTACCTTCTTAGCACTCCCTTCACAGTCAAACATTGGCATATAATATTTAATCTGATATTTATGAATAATATTATAAAAATTTATCTAAATTTCTATTTACGTTTACTCAAAGAATTATTTCTCTTTTCCTCTTTTCAAATGGCCCATTCATCATCAGTTTTCTTAAGTATTGGCGTAAAAGAATCTACAATAATTAACAATGTGTTCACTGTGATCAACTTGGCCGTTATCGTTTTTTTAATTGTTGCTGGCTTAATTTATGCAGATATTAAAAATTGGATGGTAAACCCGAATAATGTAAGTTTAACCCTTAGCATAAGTATGATGCCTGTTGATTATTTCTTGCCTTTTTACCTTGACAGTTTATTTCCCATTAATACCGTCATTAATTTGTATAACTGTCCACAACGAGGTTTTCCAAGAGAGATTTTGTCAAGAACCGACGTCGGCAAAAGAATCATTGAAAACTAAAGGAGTACTGGACACCTGTTGTGTCTTAGGTTGAGACTCTTTCCTGCAAAACTTGATATTTTCAAGTATTGATTTTGTATTGATTTTTGTTTGATCAGTTGGAGGATTTCATCATGAACTGAAATCAGTTAGAGAACCGTTGGGAAACCTGCCAAGGGAGTACTGGACAGCTATCTGTTTCGTCTGCCTAGTTTGGTATTCATCAGCAGTACGCACATACCAACAAGGTTCGAACACAGGACCTTCTGGTTACAAGGTTAGCGAGCTCGTAGACCATCAAGCCACTGGAACCCGATCCAATGTATCCAATGGCCGGTTCATGAATCCTAACTTCGAACAATTCATGATAAAGCGCTATCACTTCGCGATTTTTTCTTCGGTGAATAATTGTCCTCACTTTCAACCTGCTGCACGTTACTGGTCACGACTTCCCAACTAGAACCCCAGGTTAACTTCCGTGGATAGGGCCTGTCGCTAGTGAGCATCAGATTAATTAATTTTCAAGTATTGGTTTTGTAGGGATTTTGTTTGACACAGTAGGTTGAAGGTGAGGTAGTAACTCATCGAAGAAGACATTGGGAAGTGGTCGCGCCATGTTATGAATTGTCAGAAGTTAGAATTCATGGACTGGCCATTGGATCCATTGTATCGGGTTCCAGTGGCTTAATGCTCTACGAGCTCGCCCATCTTGTAACCGGAAAGTCCTGGGTTCAAACTCTGGCAGTGTGTATGTACTGCTGATGGTTCTCAAACTACGATGAAACAGCTGTCCAGTACTCCTTGGTTTTCTATGGTTCTCCAACTAATATCAATCCGTGGTTAAACTCGTATAAAAAAATCTAATCCTTACAAACCAGCTATAGAAAATTGTATTTTGTTTGACAAACTTAATGTACACAGGCATACCAAATAACCTACATATCATGAGCTGACATTGGTGAGAGAACCATTGGAAGACAACCTGGGAGTACTGAACAGCTGCTTCGTCCTAGTTTGGGACTCTTCACAGTACGCGCCCACTGGGGTTCGAACCCAGGACCTTGTGGTTACAAGGCGAGCTCATAGACCATTAAGCCACTGGAACCCAATCCAATGGTCCTTGAATTCTTACTTCTGCTAATTCACGACATAGCGCGACCAGAAGTTAGAATTCATGGACTGGTCATTGGATCGGGTCTCGGTGGCTGAATGGTCTAGGAGCTCGCCTTGTAAGCAGAAGGTGCTGCGTTCGAACCCCAGCGGGTGCGTACTGATGAAGAGTCCCAGACTAGGACGAAACACCTGTCAAGTACTCCCAGGTTTTCCAATGGTTCTCTAACTGATGTCAGCTCATGATGAAATCCTGTAACCAATCAATCAAATCCCTACAAACCGACACTTGAATAAGCTATATATATTTGTGATTGTACAACTGAGTGAATGAATTCGTCGAAAAGAATAACTCTTCTCTGAACTATGTGTTTTGTTTCCATTGGTGTCTGGATAGATAGATCGAAAAACTGGACCACGTCTTTCCGACTCATATCATTTATAGGTACAACATTCTCTTTATTTCTTTTCCTTTTCTCTCTTTCTTTTTTCCGTTATGTGCTGCTTTGTTTCTTTCTCTCGATTAAGCCAGTAAATACGATAGCACCTACTTTTCTAACACCTTCAAACATTGTTCAACTTTGGCTTTGCTAATGACACGCCAATATATTGTTTTAATAATGAACTGTGATTTCCTTAATCTATGTAGAATTCTATTTATTGATAATGTACTAACTGGATGCAATACTGTAGTAAACAAAATGCTGAGAATTCCATTCTGTATCACAAGTACTATTTGGGAATAAAGCAAATTATTATCATTATTCATGAATTAAAACTAAAATGAGATTAAATGAGCAAGTTGGGTGATGTAATCTAGTTGACGGGGTTGATTAGAGCTCAACTCAAATTTGAACTGAACAAAAGTCAAGTTAACAACAAAACAAAATTAGGCATTCGGTGTTAAGATAGGTCAGGTCTACTGTAGATTTAATGACTGAACAAACTTCTTTTGCAAGCAGAGTTCAAGTTTTAACATGTGAATTGCCATTGCTTCTGCGGTTAGAAGAAGTTTGATTTGTACTCTTTTCGCAAGATTCTCATGTATTCTATAGATGACTTCGAAGTTGGCTTGTGTGTTAGCTTTGGTGTCCAGATTCGATTAGGTGTTGCAAGATAGATCTGTGTTGGAAATAATGTGTCCAGTGCTCCCTAGTTTTCAGTGGTTCTCTAAATGACATCAGTTCGCAGTCAAACGTGAAACAAATGAGATCCTTACAGAGTAACTCTTGAAAATTAACCTGATGCTCTCACTAGTGGTTCACTACAGGATGAAGTCTCCTGGAGTTCTAGTAAGAAGTTATGATTAGTGAAGTCCATCCAGTCGGGAGTGAGGATGGACTTCCCACCGATGACATTGGTTGTCGCCAGTTGCTCTAAATCACGAATCGGTGGAAGTTAGAATTCCTGGACTGGTTACTGAATCGGATCTCAGTGGCTGGATATTTTATACTAAAACCTCCACTGAAGCGATGCTGTCTAGACGGCGGATAGCGAAAGATTCTCAGTTACATCAGCCAGCTTCTTAGAGAACACAACAAATTCAATAGTCTGAGGTATTGTTTACGTCATCAAAATGTTTTGAAAATGTGGTAAATAATCAGACTATAGCCAGAATGGGGGCTGGAGACTAATAAATTTAGGCAAGCGTTACGTAATATAAAAATATTCGGGAGAAAAATGCGAAAAAGAGTATTAATAACAAATCATTGATAACAATTGAGCAGTTGTACAAATACATAGGAAGAACTAACTTCGGCGAAGAGTCTCTTTTCAGCGGCGAATTCATTCACTCGGCTGTAAAATTACACTTGTATATTCTCTATAGTTGGTTTGTAAGGATTAGATTTGTTTATACGAGTTTGACCACAGATTGATATCAGTTAAAGAATCATTGAAAGCCAGCACTGGAATACTGGATAGCTGTTTCCGTTGTCCTAGTTCGGGAATCATCGGAAGTACACACAAACTTCCTCAGGTCGAATCCAGGACCTTCCAGTTACAAGGCAAGCAAGCTCGTGTACCATTCAGCCACTGGGACCCACCCAGTCCATGAATTCTAAATTCTACCAACTCTTGATTTAGTGCGACCCCAACCAATGTCGTCGACAGGAACACTTGACTGGATGAACCTCACTGCTCACGACTTCTCACTAGAACTCCAGGAAACTCTGCCCTGTGACAAGCCACTAGCGAGTATCATATTAATTTTCTATATTTGGTTTGTAAGGACGTTTGTGATGATGGAGTTTCCTGCAGTTCTAGTGAGAATTCGTGACCGGTGAGATCCAACAAGTCAATTGTGAGGATGGAGTTCCCACCGATGACACTGGTTGGTACCAGTCATGCTAAAATCACGAATTGGTAGAAGTTAGAATCCATGCACTGGCCATTAAGGAGTCGGATCCCAGTGACTGAATGGTATACGAGCTAGCTTACCTTGTAACCGGAAGGTCCTGGGTTCGAACCCTTGCAGACTGTGCGCACTGTGGATGATTCCCAAAGAATTAGGATGAAACAACTTTCCAGTATTCCAGTGATGGTTTGCAATGGTTCTCCAGCTGATATCACTCCGTGGTCAAATTTGGAAAGCAGTAACTTAAGAAGGCTACTCCTTTACCTGTCACATTCACTTTTTTAAATTAACTTTCAAAAGTTTGAGTAGTGATTAAAGAATAATTTTCGACCTCTCCATTACATTCTACGGTTATATATTCATAATATTTAACGAATCATTGTTATTGATAATATTAATGCTTTCAGATAACTTCGAATCATTAATAACAATAGATTACAGTTTAAAAGATGTTTACGCAATAACATGCATAAATATAACACTAAATATACGTTCATGGTAAATTTTAATACCAATTCTCCAAGAAATTCTATTGGGATCCCCCCAACATTTGTTAACGTATCACTTATCTGCTCATGTATGCATATATATATATATGTTAGTATAGCCAGGCATTTCAATCAGCGGTACACTTGTGAATAATGAAGCTACGTTAAAGGATATCATGGTTTTATCCTTAATGTTAATATCTTTCATTCTGCCTATGAACTCGAACATAGAGAAAACAGAGGTGATGAAGATTCCTGGGTAACACCACCAACAGCGACAACAACAAAAACAGAGAACGATCAGCATAAATGGAAGGAACCTGAAAGAAACAACCTCTTTTACCTACCAACCTGGAAGCATCGTTTCAACTAAAGGCCAACGGAACTGACGAGGATATCAAAGCAAGAATCGGAAAAGTGAGACAAGTTTTCACTACTCTCAAGTCTGTGTGGAGGTCGACAGCACTCAGCATCAAAACGAAGATAAGATCAGGATTTTCAAATCCAATGTGAAGTCAGTCAGTGCTACTATACGGATCAGAGACTTGCACTGCGTGTCATAAAGAGCATCTTAAACAAACTACAGACCTTCATTAACAGTTGTCTTCGCTCAATACCACTCAAGATCAGCTGGCCGGCCAGAAAAGATCAGCAACAGGGATCTCTGGCAATGAGTGAACCAACCAGGAACCGATTTTGAAACAAATAGGCAGGAAGAAATGGAGATGGATTGGCTGGTCATACTCTGAGGAAACCATCAAGTGACATCACTTGGGAAGCCATTGCTCGAGTGGAACCCAAAAGGGAAGCGACCAGTTGGTCGTCAGTGCAAGGGTGACTTGGAGGATTTCATGTGAAGAGGAGATGAAAACGTGTGGGTAGACTTGGAGCCAGGTGAAGATTCTAGCAGAGAACCGAACGCAATGGAGACGCACGGCTGAAGGCCTATGTTCCTCTGGGAATTGAAGGAAATAGTATTAATAATGATAATAATGAACTCGAACTCAGCTGTCTGATGATTGGCTACAGGACGAAGTCTCCTGGAGTTCCGGTGAGAAGTTATTACTAGTAAGGTCCACCCGGTTGGAAGTTAGGACAAATACTGGCCGATGATACTGGCTGGTTGTCTTGCTAAAATCACGAATTAGTAGAAGTTCGAATTTATGGTCTACTAGGTCTGGTCCAAATGGTTGAATGGTCAACAAGCTCGCCTCGTAATCGAAAGGTTCTGGGTTCGAACGGTGTTGGTGGGAGCGAACTGCTAGAGAGTCTCGAGCTAGGCGGACGCAACAGTTATCCAATACTCCCTGGTTTCCAATAGTTCTCATACTGATATCAATGTGTGGTTAAAATTTAAAAAATTACTTTTAATTTCAATTTTGAAATTAATGTATTTGAATGGTTTCGTTCTGATTCAACATTTTCTGAAGAATATGGTATACAAAGTTATTTCTAAAAGTTCAGCAGTGGTACATTGATACCATCTGGTTAGCATTACCTGATTTCTTATGGCCTCTCTTACAGGCATTCACTTATTTACTGTTGAAGTTTTCAAATAACGCTTCCAAGCTTTATGTGTATAAAAAGTAGGTACTGGATGTAAATGAAAGTATTACAGAGATGATAGAGACACTTTATAGCTCAAATGGATCATATCAGTATTATTAATATTTTTCCCTTGGGTTACGAGCATAAAATAGGGATTCAACAACACATCTCCACTTTCTTCTGTTTTCTGCCATCCTCTTCAACTGGCTAGCTCCACGATTCACCAAACTCTTTCACCTCTTCCATGCTACGCGATCTCATCCACTATCACCATCGCACTGATGACACACTCGTCAATTTCCAATTTGGATTCCACTTGAGAGATAGTTTGCATTGCATGCGATACCATTCGACGGTCTTTTCAGTGGCGTGTATGCCTGATCATTCTCCATCTTATCCTACATATTTGTTGAGCGATCGGCTCTCGCCTGTTGGTTTGTTCCCAGACACAGTTTCTTCTTCTTACTTATTCTTTCTGACTGGCCATTCGATCAACAGTATGGAGTCAGCCAGCGAGGTAAGCAGTTGTTGATGAAAGTATGCAACAAACTGTTGGAAATCGTTTTCGTGACACGCAGTGCAAGTTTCTCACCCACATAGAAGCACTGACCGACTTCACGTTTCTGCTGAGAATGCGAATCTTGTTCCATATGCTGAGTGCAGAAGATTTCTAAACTGGTTTCAGGTTGATGAAAGCGTTTATCGCCTTTCCGATTCTCACTGGCCTGCTCTGACATCTTCGTCCGTTCCGATGGCCTGTAGTTGAAACGATGCTGCCTATCCAGATAAGTGAAGGAGGCAACCTCTGTTAAATCTCTCCCGTCGATGGTGATTTTTGCTGGCTGTTGTTATTGTCTCGATTCGTTGGTTATCTTCACCACCTCCGTCTTCTCTGTGTTCATCTGCAGTTCTGTCTTCGCTGCCAGCCTCTTCAGTCAGTTTGTTGGTTTTCGCCTGCCTGCCTGCTTGTAAATCTTCGAGTTTGTGTGACGTTAGACATGAATCATGCATGCGCGAAGTCCCAGATCTTCTAGAAACTTCTTACCGGTTGTCCAGCGTATTCCTGTCTCCTCACTGCCTGTGCACAGTCTGACGCATAATCCAGTCAGTCCACCACAATTAAGAATATCATCGGTGATAATAGGCAGGCAGCCAGCCAGCTTGTCTTACTCCTGTGTGCACTTCGAACGCCTCACTAAGTTTTACGTTGTGGATCACCTGACACGTGGCATTGTCATGTAGCCAGCTGTTGAATGAGGTTGACAAAGACTTGAACACTGCAAGCCGTAGTGTTGAAGTAGTTTCCAAATTACTTGTCTGTCAACGCCGTCTGGTGAAGGTCTTTTCGAAGTCGATGAAATAGAGGTAAAGGGAAGTTTGACCGCGATTCTATGCTTTGTTCTGTGATGATGACGATGCGTAGAGTTGCGATTTGATCAGCACATGATTTGCCTTTCCTGAATCCAGCCAGCTTGGTGGAGTTCTGTATCCAGTGCACCCTTTATTCTCTCCAGGATGACACGACTTAGTATTTTACTTGGTGTGAATAAGAGCATTATTCCACACCAGTCAATTCTTGCAGAAGCGAAAGTCGCCCTTCTTTGGCAGCTTGACGAGGTAGCCAGCCTTTCTTCCAATCGGTAGGTACCTTTCCTTGCTTCCAAATCTTTTGCAATAATGGCGTGAGCACATCTGCCGCAGCATAGCTGAGTTCAATTCAGAAGCCTTCATTACCTTTCTAGATAACATCTTCAGTGCTACTAACTCCAGTAGGAGAGTGATTTCCAGATGTTGTATTTGAAGTGTTCTAATTAATTTAAACGTAAACTTTACCAAGGACCAAAATCAGTTCGTGAAAAGTAGTTCATCACTAAAATTAAGAATCATTTATACAAACAAATATGTTGTCTCCTTTTAAAAAAAAATGAATTTCTGAAATCTATCTGTTAACCTTTAGGTTACATATAATGCTACAGTGAGCCGTGCAGATGTTGGTGATGGTGGCTTTCTACCTTTTGGGATTAACGGAGTACTCTCAGGAGCTGGAACTTGCTTTTTTGCATTTGTTGGCTTTGATATCATAGCTACCACAGGTAAATCAGTCTATTTGTCAAGTGTTTTCACTCTATATATTTGATTTCATACTTCAGTATGTATATTGAAGTTAATTTAAATCCCCCCCGGCTTGTTTATATTGGATTTCATGCATTTATTCCCCTTGATGAATTTGAATAAAGCAAGAACAACTTTGGTCTGTGCAGAATAATATGGTACCATCATTGTTTATTTCGTTGGCTTCTCACACTCAACTGCTTAGAGCCTATGAGGTTTATGTGCAGAAAGTTTTAACGTACTTGCACATTTTACATGATGTCAGTCGTTTTTTTGTTAGTGAATGGGAGATGTGAAGGCTCAAACATCAAACAAATCACAGTTGAAAAAAAAGCCTGTCTTTATTCAAGTAGATTTTAAAGGTGAAAACATTGCAGCAATGATCAACACAAAACTGAGGATGTCACTACCAACCAGAGCCTATCCTGCAGCTAGCTAGGTCGGTTCCCGTCTATCGAACAACATGCTCTTTGGTGCATTGAAAAGTCGACAGATACCCGTCTCACGTTAACTCCAACTTTGTATACAAATTTACTTGTATCTGCGGGAGCAGTTATAGTGGGGGAACAGAAAGAAGGGCACACCTCCGATTTTCTGAACATGTGCCAAAAAGCCTACGGCTCAAGGGAGCAAATTCTTATAATAGCGCTATTACCAGACATCTCCTCGATACGGGTCATGAGGTGTAAATCACGAAATCCTTGAAAATTATCAATAGACAAAGGAGCTCGATTCTCCTCAAGTTTGTCGAAGCAATTTCTATCAAACGCTTGAAACCAGATTTATGTGTTCAGAAAGAAGCAGTTATTAGTCTTTCCTTGCCCTGTCTGGTAACTGGATGTCTTTATTCTCTCTCGCCTTCATTTGATTACGTAATCTTTGGCTTTAACCTCACCCCTTTGACATAGTGTGATTTGAGGTGGACTCAGTACATTGTTACCTAATTTATTAGTCACTCAGCATCTTACGCATCTCTCGTCTTTATTACGTAACTCCTTTGCCATTGTATGCATACATTTATTTTGTTTAAACTTGAACTGCCTGTGTAAAAACTATATAAGCGCAATTTTCTGAGCACTGTTCACTAACTGTGGAACTTTCTGTCAACTGACATCATGGAAAATTTGCAAATATGTTAAAAATTTCCCTGTACATGAACCTCATAAATTATTTAGGCTGTAAGCAAGCCGCTGATGAGAAGCCAACGAAATGGTGGTGCCATACTTTTCTGCACAAACCACTGTTGTTCTTGCTTTATATTGGATTGATATTCCCAGTACGTGTTGATAGGTTGACTTCTAGTATGGACATCCCGATCGAGCATTCCGGTTTTACATAGTCAGTCAAAGCAACTTTCAAGATGGATTAAACAAATGACAACAGATGATGACTGGTCAACAGGATGTGCTTTCCATGCCTCAGCAGCCTAGGGGATGGCGTCTTAGCGTTTGAAACGATGAGTGTACGGTTTCGAGTTTCAGTGGGACAATATCACCTAATGCAGATTCAAATATGTCCAGGTGACTAGTTCCAAATGAAAATAAAATGCATACCCTTGATTCCACTACTAGTTACCACCAACTGTGTAGCATCGTGTTAGTCTGATGGCACTGCTGAATCCTTTGCACAGAAGCTGACATGTCCAGAGATCGAATATTTAATCACTCATAGGGGAAATTCATCAATAACTCCGTCATCATGATCATTAGACGGAATTACATCATCACAGTGAGTAACATTAATCATTAGTGAATACGAAGGCATGTGGTTCACGCTTTCATTCAAGACTATATGGAAATCATTTTTTTCAGCAAGCCTCAAAATCTGTTTTCATCTTCAATGTAAGACAGGTGAATAGCTATAGGCAGAATTCAGGAAGCGTGTTTCGTCACATTTAGGACTCGTCGGCCTGATGTATCTGCAACCTCTGTCAGTGATGATTTCCCATCCTGACACTGGGGTCCAGCACTCATTGTTTCCCTTTTTCCAAGGGTTAACCACTAGGCCACCTGGTCATGACAGTCACCTCTCAACTGTCATTCAGCTTTTCGAATAAAACGATTTATTATCTCCAAGTTGTTTGCCATTTCCGATTGATTGAGTTTTATTGGACTGAAATTGTCGATTTCTGTTGATATGTTGAATCCTATTACGACTTTTGATGATATCTGTAGATTGATCTGATGTCATTTGGCCGATAACAGTAGAAGGATCGTACTGTTAGCCTTTTGAAGGATCTCCCAAAACAGACTGAAAATTTCTATCCGACGCCAATCGATTAATTGAACAAAAACGCAAAATAAAATAATCAGCTAAGGCAGGTGTACTTAGGATTATCGAAATGATAGAGAAGATTTGTCATTTGGTTGCGTTCTCTAAGGTAGCTGATTTAATCTAAAAGCTTTCATTGTCCCCATCCTACGAAACTTCTTCAGCCCAGGCTTCAATATAAACTGAACATGTTTGAATTGTTTCTACATGAATGATGACATGATTGTATCTCCTGACAACCATTTTATTGTAACTGGTTGCTAAAATTTACATCTTCATTGACCATGTTAGTTGACCTGAAGTTTCTTGTCATTTGGTAAATTTGGTCTATAGTCGTGTGTCTGTTAATCTTTGACTTGTCTAAGTACCGATTAGGCTTCCAGAAATTATCTGACGTTTTCCGTCTTTCCTTTTGTTTGAAATTCCTACATTCTCACAATCAAATACTCAACTAGAATAGCAATAAACCAATGACTAACAAAACAAACTGTGTACAGACATTCCTCAGTAGGAACATCACCATTCACTGAGGAATGCAAGTACATGCAGCTGACGAGTCCCAAATGGGACGAAATGCGCGTTGTCCTGGATTCCACTGCTAGTCACCATCCTCCAATTAAATTCTAATTTTGAAGTATTGGTTTTGTAGGGATCTTTTTGTTTGATTGGCTGGAGGATTTCATCATGAGCTGACATCAATTAGAGAACAACTGAAAAACCTGGGAGTACTGGGCAGCCGTTTCGTCCTAGTTTAAGACTCCTCATCAGTACGCACCCACTGGGGTTCGAACCCAGGACCTTCTGGTCGCGCCATGTCGTGAAGTGGCAGAAGTTACAATTGAAGAACCATTGGATCAGGTCTCGGTGGCTCAATGGTCTACGAGCTCGCCTTGCAACCGAAGGTCCTGTGTTCGAACGCCGGTGGGTGCGTACTGCTGAGGAGTCTCAAACTAGGACGATGCAGGTGTCCAGTACTCCATGCAGGTTTTTCAGTGTTTCTCTAACTGATGTCAGTTCATGATGAAATCCTCCAATGAATTCTAATTCTTTAAAAAATTCAAACACACTGTAGCACTCCAATTTTGAAGAGGATAGAAGATAAACATCTACTAATTATCTTCAAGAAGAGTAAATACCCATACAATTTCATCAAGAAATCATTGTCATCAAGTACAAGAAGATATATATATATATATATGAGGAAACTACACACTTTCATCAACAGCTGTCTTTGCTCAATACTTTGCTCAAGATCAGATGGCCGGTCAGAAAAGATTAGCAACAGGAGGGATCTCTGGCAATGAGCGTACCAACCCAACTCAGCAGGAACCGATTGTGCAAGAAATATGCAGGAAGTAATGGAGGTGGATTGGTAGCCATACTCTGAGAAAACAAACCATCAAGTGAGTGACATCACACGTCAGGCTCTTTCCCGAGTGGAACCCGAATGAGAAACGGCGAGTTAGTTGGTCGTCAGTGTGAGAGTGACATGAAGTAGGAGGAGGTGATGTGAAGAGGATATGAAAGCATGTGGGAAGACGTGGAACCAGGTAGTGAAAACTTTGATAGAGAACCGAAAGCAATGGAGAAGTGCGCGGCTGAAGCCCTATGATTCTCTAGGAATTAAAGGAAACAATAAAAATGTTGTTAATAAGACTAATTCATCCACTAATATGTATATAAAGCTGTAGAATCTGATGAAGAAGGGCTTATCAAAAAAGAATATTCTTTGTTCAGTAACCATTCTCTTAAAATTTACAATTTAAGTGAACATATGATGGACTGACTTATAAATATCTATTGTTCTACTTCTATTTTTCATTTTCAAGGTGAAGAAGTACGTAATCCACAAAGAGCTATCCCATTAAGTATAATAATATGCCTGCTAGTATGTTTTATGGTATATGCATTGATCTCTGCAACGGTTACTTTAATGTTACCATATTATGAGATATCATCAGTTGCACCGTTACCATTGGCATTTGATAAACATGGTTTACATTGGGCAAAATATTTGATAGCTGTTGGTGCATTGTGTGCTTTAACAACCAGGTGAGTCAGCAAAGGCTACAGTGGTAGAGTATAATTTCATTATGGGGAAAATTTATTTTGATAAAATTACACAGTGTAGTGTTATACAGTAATATTTACTACTGATGACCACACGCTTCGAGCACAATTTATTACTGCTCATAATCTCATATCAAGACACTACTACTCACACAACTTTCTAACTTCGCTAGTATAATTCCATTATTTCTCCTCGCTTGACTTGATGACTGGTAGTAATATTTTCCATATTTCCAGTATGAGTGATCAGTCTTCATTTTTTCCTCCACGTTCCCCAGTGGAACATAGGGCTTCAAGCTAGTGGCTTGAAGTTTCTGTAGCAGTGTTTATTTTACAGTAAGGGTTGCTAGCCTCATACCCAAGCTTTTCTCTTCACCAACATTATTTCTGGCTTAGCGAGGTAAAGGAGTGCGTCGGCCGGGGATCGAACCCTGGACCCTGTGCATGGTCGACGAGCGTCCTAACCGCTGTGCCACCGACGCACATGAGTGATCAGTCATTGCATCCTATTGCATGTGTTTGGTGTAGACTCAGTGAACCAGGAATAAGTAACTAACACTCCTCCTTAGCATAAACAATAAAATTCGGATTTTCAACACCAATGTTAAGTCAGTCAGTCAGTCATTCCTTCTACATAAGTGAGAAACTTGGCGCTGACGTTACGAAAAGCATTTCCAACAGGCCAATGCAGACTTCTACCAACAGTTGCCCACTTCACTGGCTCTATACACTGAAGATCAGATGGCCAGCCAAAAGAAAAAAAGAGCACCGGCAACAAGCAACTCTGGAAACGAACCAATAAAGAAATTATCATTCAACAAATTTACTGAAGAAAATTGAGGTGGATATGGCACACACACACACACACTGAAGTGATCTTTGAATGAAATCACGTACCAGACTATCACTCGATTGGAAGGTGAATAGGAAACGATAAGTTTGACTTGTCTCCAAGAGTGACACGGAGGAAATCGTGACAGGAGCAGATGAGAAACTATGGCGAAATCGGATGGTCACCTAAAGAGAAACGTGCAGAGAATAGAGCAACATGAAGATGTGCTGTTGAAGCCCTATGTTCCTCTTGGGACCCATGGGAACAATAATACACACATGCATACAAGATGGGGGTTCAATTCCCAACAGACGCAATCCAATGATATAAGAATAAAACTTGGGCACTGTGGTAGAGTGTAATTTCATTATGGGTAAATTTTATTTTTATAGAGTCTCACAGTGTTATACAGTAATATTTACTGATGACGTTTCGAGCACAATTTATTGCTCATAATCATATCAAGTTAATCAGACGACTTCCTAAATTCATTTATATAGTTCCATTGTTTTTCACTTGATTTTCACTTGATTTGATTGGTAGTATTATTTTCCATATTTCGGGTATGAGTGATGAGTCATTCCTATTGCATGTGTTGGGTGTAGATTCGATGAACAAAGATTCAGTAATCCAAAGCCTTGCTTACTGTTCAAGTGTTGGTTTGTAGGGATTTGATTGGTTACAGGATTTTCATCATGAGCTGACATTAGTTAGAGAACCATTGGAAAACCTGGGAGTACTGGACAGCTGTTTCGTCCTAATGGGTTTAACGGGTTGGGTGTGAGGACAAATACTCGCCGAAGACATTGACTAGCGGTTGCGCTATGTCATGAATTAGCAGAAGTTAGAATTCATGGACTGGCCATTGGATCGGGTCCCAGTGGTTTAATGGTATACGAGCTCGCTCGCCTTGTAACCAGAAGGTCCTGGGTTCGAACAGTGCCGGTGGGGGCGTACTGCTGAAGATTCCCAAACTAGGACGAAACAGCTGTCCAGTACTCCCAGGTTTTCTAATGGTTCTTTAACTAATGTCAGCTCATGATGAAAATCCTGTAAGCTTGCTTACTGTACTAGTCGACAGTAAGTCGGATAATGAGGGAGAGAGAGAGAGCGCGCGCGACAGAGGGAGATGTTTAATTGTGAGACTAACAATCTCACAGTGTAGACATATAACACTATTTCTATTGAAGCCTTAAAACTGAAAGGAATGAAAACAGAAAAATTAAAAAACCCATTATACAGCCTTATCAAATTCTCTTGTCATTAATATTTCAGTGTATAAAAGTGCACAAAAATACACATTTATGGGTGTGTGTGTCTGCGAGTGCAAGAATTATCAATTATTCAATTAAATTGCGTAAATCAATAAACGTCAAAAGCATTTTATTCGCATATTTTCTAACAGTTAAACTATTTCTTTCTTTCTTCAAAAAAGATGAGTGGAATAATTTCACTGAAACAAACAAACAAACAGACATTTTATTCAAACAAACAAAACTGATTCATTACATTAATGGTGGTATGTATGGCTTACCTTTAACTAGTTACTGTTTTTATCACAAATCGAACTGATTTCCCTTCATCTTTTGACGAAACATATTACTTGGAAGTTTCCTGGGGTTCTAGTGAGACGTCGTGAACAGTGGGGTACAGCAGGTGTGGGGTGTGAGGACAAATACTCGCCATCGATGAGATTGGCTAGTGCCAGTCGCGCTATATCAGTGTGTGAATTAGCAGAAGCTGGAATTCATGGACTGGTCATTGGATCAGTTGGATCCCAGTGGTCTGATGGTCTACAAGCTCGCTTGCCTTGTAACTGGGGGGGGGGGGTTCTGGGTTCACACCTGGTGGTATGGATGTGTACTTCTAAAGGGTCCAAAACTAGGCTGACGAAACAGCTGGCTATCCAGTACTCCCGGCTGGTTTTCCGATAGTCCTATAATCGATGCCAGCTCATACTGAAATTCTACGACCAATCGAATCAAATCCCTGAAAACCAACACTTGAATAAACATATTACGCTTACTTAACGGCTTCAAGAACACCTCAATTGAAGTTACACTACACTATGGACTTAACCCTAACTGTTGACTTCAGAGACTCAGGGATTGACTTGCTACCAGGGAATAATCTCGTTGACTTAGAATACGCGGACGATATAGTCCTTCTAGGTGATGACGCTGACAAAATGCAGAGTCTTCTGAACACCTTGAGCAGCAATCTTCGTATGTTTGGCATGCGATTCGCCCCTGTAAAATGTAAGATGATGTTGCAGGATTGGACTACACCGACTCCTAGATTAGAAATAGGAAGTGAAGTGGTAGAGCACGTTGACCGCTTCACTTAATTAGGAAGTTGCATCAGCCCCAATGGGTTGATCGCTGACGAAATATCAGCACGAATACAGAGGCTAGTTTCGCATATGCCAGTTTATGGCGTCTCTGGCGTAGACGTGATATCCGACTATTGACCAAAGGGCGTGTATACTGCCCAGCAGTCCACTCCGTCCTCCTTTATGGCTGTGAGACCTGGCCATTGAGAGCGGAAGACATGAAAAGATTAGCTGTCTTTGATCATAGGTGTCTGCGTTCTATCTCCCGTGTGAAGTGGTATAATAGGGTGAGCAATATCGAGGTTAGGCCTGTCGAGTGCTAGGTAAGGAGGGGAAATCAGTCGACGAGACTGTGAAATTACATCGACTAAGATGGTTAGGACATGTGCTACGTATGCCTAGTCATCGCCTTCCTCGACGGGCAATGTTAGCTGATATAGGGCCAGGCTAGAAAAGAGCTAGCAGCGGTCAAACGAAAACATGGCTTCACCAGTCAATGAAGTCTGCAACAGTTAGTCTAAGCCACGTAGGAAGGTGTAGACTTCCTGACCAGTTGGGGTCTTTGGGACGGTAAAAACCAATGGCGGTTGGAAACAATTGGTGACATGGCTCAAAATCGTTCTCAATGGCTGTCACAGATGCATCCACTCCTTGTGACTTATGATTTCCAATGAAACTGTTTTGTTCTTCGTTAACTCACACACCTCTGTTTACTTTCTCGAATATGCATTTCTCCTACTTCTCTTGCTTTGTGTGCTACATGAGGGGAGTGTGGCGACTTGAAATGCGGCACATATGTGCAAAGTTCCATATCGAAAACAGACAGACAGATAGACTATTATTACTATGACATATACTTATCTGAAAAATTATGGTTTCCAAAGGGAACTGTGATAAACTCTCGCCTTCAATTGAGAAATATCTGCTCACTGTCTTCAAGAAGAATCAATACTCTCCGAATTTCATCAAATTAGTGTTTAAAATCAAATCAGAATACTAACAAGAAACCATCCCCCAAAGACTATGAGGAGATCCCCCCTACCATACATAGAGAATATCTCAGAAATGCCGGCTAGAATACTGAAACAGTTTAAAATAGACACAAGACAACACAATCACTTCATTCAATACTGTGCAGAACAAAGGACCCAACAGCAAAAGAAGATCGGATCAATGTTATTTACAAAATAAACTACATTAATTACGATAAAAACTACACCGGTCAATGTGGGCATTGCCTTCGAATCAGAATCCAAGAACATAAATTAGCTGTGAAAAGGCAGGATGCGTATTCCTGTTCCATATCGATGTATGTAGATAATTACGGACATGAATTTGATTAGGATAAGGTAGAATTTTTAAGTAGAAGAAACAATGAAGATACCAGGGAATTTCTAGAATTACCAGGTATTGGTTTGCAGGAATTTGATTAGTGACAGGAGTCGACTTCAGTTAGAGAAACATTAGAATACCTGACAGTACTGAACAACTGTTATGTATTGGTTTTGGACTCGTCAGCAGTACTCACCCGCTACCAGGGTTCGAGCTCAAGACGTTCCGATTACGAGACAAGCTCGTAGGCCATCCACCGACTGGGACCCAACCCAATGGTCCGTGAATTCTAGTTTCTGCCAATTCGGGATATATATGTGTTCTTAATGCATCCGGAAGCCAGTGTCACAAGCGAGTAGTTATCCTCTTGTCTGACTATTTGGACCTCGCTGGTTACGAATTTTCAATAGAAACCCCAGGTAACTTCCTGTTTAAGGACAATCAATTATGGGCCTAGTGGCTAAATGGTCTACGGGCTCGCCTCGT